TTGGTTTATAAAGATAATAACATGCAACACTGATAAGCCGACACATATGGAGCTGCCCATTGACGGCGTAGACAAGAATTTATGCTGCTTAAAAAACGAATTATAATTTGATTGATTATGCGGTTTAAAAAACCCACCCCCACTCTTTACTTTTCCAATTATCTTATTAAATATTTCTTTTGGATATTATAAAATAATAACCCCTTCTGCCATGCCTTCTGGTCATATCATTTATTAAAGAAGACTTGACCCCTTTAAGATCTATCGTTTTTCGTAAGCTCCAATATTTTCCTACTTAGCAATTTTCGATTAGTTGAAGGCAATAAACCGCATTTCACGCCAATTCGAAAACGAGACGACTAAACACATCCTCATTTAAATTCCGCAGCGTGACCCATCGAATTAAACTTTATTTCGCACGGTTTCAATTTGCAGCACTGCGCATGCTCTATCTTTTTCGTCTTTAGGTCAATTAGCACCCTTTCGCTCAAAATTTGGAACGGTAGAAAGGCGGATCGAACGGCTGTACAAAAGCAATTGCCGTCTTCGTTAATTTAACAAAGTAAACAATGCCACGGTCCATTTGTCGCCGTTAATGCGACCAATTATTCTACGTCCCTTAAAACTGATACGGAAGTAATTGTGTGGTCATCTGGGTCACCTGCCAGTAACAAATTCATTCTAGTTTCTTCAAAACTGACCCAAATATTTACCTCTCTAAGAAGATCCAGTGTCTCTATAAAACATAACGAGTTGGCATTTTGTAAAGCATATATCCTGATAACAGTGACGTCACGATTTAGCACTTAGCCCTACACATGGCACTGACTAAGCTTACCATTAATCACAACATATTGACATATTGCTATTTGTACCTATTCGACTGAACTTAGAGTGCGGAACTACTTTTTTCGAATAGCGTTTTCTAACAGAGAAAGGAACTGTCCTTATAAGTAAGATTGATCCAAGTGATAAAGTTAATTGGCACTGGCTACTCTAGCGAGTAATCGGAGTTACACAGTTAGTCGTACCCAAAAGAAAAAACCAATGGCGTGTGAAGAGATCGAGGAAACAATCATTGTTGGCATGGCCAAAATGGGATCTTCACGTCAACATCGAAACAAAGCTATGACATATAGTCAGCATAATGCTTGTCGTTGGACCGAAAACGAAATCATTTGTTTAAAGTTTGAGATAAGGCTAGATCTGAGTTTTTAGTGACGTCAGTGTCGAGACCGTTTCCAGTCGATCGCATAACAAATAAATCTACTTCAAATCCTTCGATTCATTTATAAATAGCACCCACTCCGATTTTTTAATTCGTCATTGTCACATCATATGAAAAACCTATAGAGAACCGCTGGCTATAAATAAACAGCGGCCTATTTTGGCCCAATTTATAACATTCTCCTTTAGTCTGTTTACAGTTTCAACTGTGATGTTTCGTCTACTTCTAGATCGCCTACTCTTCTCCCTATGGAGGTGTTTGTGGAGCATAGGTTAATTCGACAATAAAATTAGTTTTGAAGTGGTGACGAAATTTGTTTTGCGAAATTTACCGCTAATAACCAGTTTTACTTATATCGAACAACTCAATTCAATGATATATAGTCGAAGACTTCATGGGGAAGTAAATTATAAATAGTACAGCATTAAATGTCAACGGTTCTAAAAAATATATTAAATTAGATATAAGCAAGTTAAATGTATTCAGAAGATTTGCTTAGTATATACGACCTTAAGCTTTTATTACTCTAATTAATTTCAAATAAAAGTATAGATAAAAAATATAGCGTAAAGTCAGTAGTTCTCAAAATGTGTACAACTTTCTTATGATTAAAACTTGCCACAAAGAGTCTCAATAAAAGATGGTGTTTGTACTTCTTATAATACCAGATTGCTAAATTTGTCGTCGAGTTAAAATATACTTTTTAAAACTACGTTTTACAAATACGAAATTACGTATGTTCAAGGAAAGAGATCATGATATTCTGTTTCATACAGAGTTACAAATTTTATTAAAATAGTTTGACAAGCAGCTATAGAAAAAGGAGCAGCAGCAGCAGGATTCACCTTAAATGTAAATAAAATTGCATGTGTTTTGTAATGAGCTCATTTAGTAATTAATAATTCATTTATAACTTATTTTTACATTTCCCGTAAGCCCTTATCTTTCTAAATATATGGTAAATAGCTTTAATATTATACAGCTTGGTAAAAAATTTTTGCATAAAATTCATATTTTCGTTAAACAATTTTTTTTTCGAAAAACGGTGAGACCCGTCGATTTTTATTTGATCCAGGGCACCTTGTTATGTGGAAAAATTTTTTTTTCGATAATCCACTTACGGCAGCGATGACATAATTTTTTTTTAAATGACAACGCATATTTTTTTCGTTCGAAATTGATGACAGTGATAATTATCTAAACAACGGTGTGAAAATTTCGATGTCTTACATAACAATTTTTTTTAGAAAAATGCACCTTAAGTTCTTATAAGTGATAATTGTCTACTTACACTATTAATGGCTCCGAAAAGGACAAAGTTGACAAAATTACATTTCAAACGAGTAAAATTACACTAATGTTTGTGTAAGTCTAGCGAAATTGTTCGAATTGCCCACCCTGTACCATTTGGCATTGTCCTAAGCGTGTGTAAACGCCGTCTACACTTCGTTCAAGCATTCCCGGGTCGATTTGATTTATTTCAAAACGAATACGGTTTTTAAGTTCTTCCAAATCACCTGGTCTGTTTGTGTACACACGCGATTTCAAATAGCCCCACAAAAAAAAGTCTAGAGGTGTTAAATCAGGCGAACGCGGAGGCCACTCGATTGTTCCGCGTCGCCCGATCCACCGGCCAGTAAACGTGTTATTCAAGTACTCCCGTACTTGCACTCCATAATGGGGCGGTGCACCATCCTGCTGAAACCAAATTCTTTCCTCAGGAATATCAGGATCCTCGTTGTTCGGGAATAACTCTGCTAAGCTTGGGACCAAATCGAACCGCAGGAAATCCAAATAGCGAGCAGCAGTTAAATTTTCCTCGAAAAAATACGGGCCTAAAATACGACGCCCTATTATTCCCGCCCAAACGTTCACCTTTCGGGGGTGCTGATGATCTACTTCTTGCACCCAGTGCGGGTTTTCCTGAGACCAATACCGGCAGTTATGTCGATGCACCGATCCATTAAGATAAAAAGTAGCCTCGTCAGAAAAAATTATGTTCTTGAGGAAGTCGGGGTCTCCGTTACATCGATGCATTAAATCTTCACAAAAGTGGAGACGGCGGTCTGGGTCGTCCTCAGTCAATGCATGTATCAAGTGACCCTTATAGGGGTGAAATTTCTCTTTTTTGAGAAAGTTCACCACAGTTACATGTGAAATATCATTGTTCAATGCAATCGACCTTGTACTAGAATGAGGGTTGTCCTGGAGCTCCACCAGGATATTCAATCTAGTTTCATCATCTACTCTAGGACGACCCGCACGAGGAGCATCTTTCACACTACCAGTTTCCTCAAACCTTGCCAGTACCCTACTAACCGTAGATTGCGTAATTGGTGGTCTGTCAGGGTACGTTGCATTAAATAATTGGCAAGCTTCTTGATGGGTTCGTAACTTATCGCCGAAACCAATCATCCTCAAAATATCAATTCTTTCGCGTTCACTAAGTTTTGCCATTTCGAATTAAACGATTTCACCAAAGAATGTTAAATCGGTACTGATTTTTAGTCTTCAATATTTCAGGTAATCTACTCCTTTCAAGTAAACATTTCTTTGGATCTTTTTTTTTGAGGAATTTATCGGCAAACTCGAAGACAAAAAGTCGACCTTAATTTGCTACATACTATTTGGATTTTGTGCGGTTGAACTTGGTTCTAAATTTTGCAGTTTAATCAGGATCCTGACAATATCTGATTTCCGCAAATATTACATAACACCAGTTGCAACTTAAGTTATCTAAAATGCTTTCTGTCGAATAAATTTTTTTCTAAGGCATTTGATCCGTAAACAGCAAATTATTGCATTGCATTCAAGAACTTAAGGTGCATTTTTCTAAAAAAAATTGTTATGTAAGACATGGAAATTGTCACACCGTTGTTTAGATAATTATCACTGTCATCAATTTCGAACGAAAAAAATATGCGTTGTCATTTAAAAAAAAAAATTGTCATCCCGGCGGAAAAAAAAATTTTTTCAACATAACAAGGTGCCCTGGATCAAATAAAAATCGACGGGTCTCACTGTTTTTCGAAAAAAAATTGTTTAATGAAAATATGAAATTTATGCAGAACTTTTTTACCACGCTGTATATGTAATTTCTAATTCGTTCAAGCTGTTCGCAGATTACTTGTGACGTCACACCACTCTACTGGCTCGACCCTCCAGCTCTATGCACTTTTAGCTATTGTCTCAAGTTATTAATTTGTGTTAAGTTTTTCCACGAATTTGTGCTACAGTTTGTTTTTTCCCTGTTGGTTGGTATTTTTCCTGCGGAATAAATATTAATAAGAAATTTTTGTACTACGATGTGTACTTTCTGAATACAAATAAAAAAATGTGCCAAATGAGCCCATTACAAAGCCCGCTCTAGATGATGCCGTTACTTGCCAAACATTTGTGAAACGTAAGCGTGTGGATGCTGCATATTGATAAATTTGAAAATATACCTTCACTTGACAAATATTCGCCAAAGCTACAAATGTATTTATATTTGAAGAGATATTTGTCATGTTTTCACATTGTGTGTATTGCACAACTTGGCGCTATGTATTCTGTCCAAATCATCTGCGAATGTTTGACAAATATTTGGCGAATAATCGTCCCGAGCCAGCTCAATACGTATAGCAAGAAATTCAAGATCCATCTTGCTGCCCTAACATCTGCCAAAATTCAGCACTAGCGAGGCAAAATGCAACCAAACCACCAAGCAAGCGACATGCGAAAAACAACCACCAAGCGAAAACGGGCATGCGAGAGAAAGACGGCTAGAGACCTGTGCAATGATGGAAGCCACCTTGTCCCTGTCCACGGTGGCAGTGATGCGTTTGTTCTTGAGGTGGTGTGGCGTGTCGCGCCGGTGGAGGCGGCTCGGCTTCGTGGCGGCGGCGTCTGCGTCGGCGGCGGCAGCGCCGCCCGTGAAGCCCACTCGCCTGAGGACGGGCTCCTGCAAGGCACGGCCCAGAGGTCATACTCGCTCACCCATCGAGGGGGCGGGGGGTTAGTGCGGGAAGATACGGGTTAGTATCTTACCTCGGCCGCGGACTACTGGTCCAGGGGTTCCCAAACTCTTTTCTCGCGAAAACAAGTTTTATGGATCATAGGCGCTGTTAAAATGGGTAACCTGATGCTAAGTGTAAGGTCCGTGAGTAAATCGTACATGACGTAGAAACCAGGGACGGATTCAGGACAAGTCGCGAACATTGCACATATGCGAGCCCTAACAATTAAATATTCGAACAGCACATTATTTATTATAAATTTAATGTAACTTGTATGTAGGTAAAATTCACCTCAAGTTATACAAATAGTGATTGTCACAAATTTAGTAGCCAAGACAGCTGACTGACTGACCTGTATTTATTAAAAAAGACAGTTGAACTTCAACGAGAATTAAACAAACCCTACAGAATGTGGTGACAAATGTTCAAACTGAAGAGTTTGCTTATGATTTAGAAATTCGCTAAATCTTTCTCTAGCCTTTACATCAATGCGAATTCTCTTTGGCATAGTGTTGACTTGGATGGGAGTTAAATTTTCATTGTCGTTGGCAAAAACTCAATTTAAATGAAAATGATCTTCCTATCTTTACAGTCCACAGATATCGAGATATTCAAAATATTTGATATTACTAATAAATGCAAATACGACTTCGGCTTACTGATAGTTATCCCAAAAACTACACGTAAAAGTCGTATTTGCTAGGATATGCATTAGACTTTGTAATATTATCTACAAGATACTTGAAATTTCAGAAGAATTTTTAACTTGTTTGGTAAGTATGTTTAATTTATATAACATGTTAGATACGTCCATTAGTGACAATTACCTGTTGTTCATAAGGTTAACAAAAATGTTTAGGTTCTTTATTTAACATGTCGCTGTTGCCTATAAAATAAATTTTCTACAAGTCTATTTTTCATCATTTCACGTAAAAACCAAGTACGAACCTGGTATGTACGATTTACTCTCGGACCTTAGGTAAAACGGGAACAAAATATTTTAACAGAATAAATTTTTCTAATAAAAAAATGCTGTTTTCCTAGATGGCAAAACAAAATAAACACACCTAGGAATATTTACGTGTTTAACTGAACATAGGTGTCCCAGTAATGTTTTGTACTTTTTATCACGCACACGTGTTGGAAATATGCTTATTAAGCAGTATATCAATGTGTTAGTGAGAAAATGTTATAAATGGTTCTATTTAAAAAAATAAATATTTTTAACGTGACATATTTAGTCACTTAGTATTTAGTGTAATACTGTGTTATAACTTTATATGTACTGGTTGAATCCCAGCTGTGTTATAGATGTAATTTTGTTCGTTAACAGTTTGGGAACCTCTGTACTGATGAGAATGAGAAATATACCAATACCAGTGTTAAGCAGAGTATTTTATGCAAAAACAATACCTATGTTATAGTTTAAACTATTTAGTATCAAGAAAATTGTTGGAAATGCAAGTGAGCATTTCCTAAACATAAAAAATGCAGTAAGGTGTTGCAGAGTACGGGGGTATATTTGTATTTTAAATTTCTAGACATATGGCGATGTAAATTTGACAAATAATCAATCATAAGATTAGAGTGAATAATATAATATGTATCATAAACAAATTTCGAAATATTTTGCTCTTAAGAAGCAAGATTATTTGTCTGTCCTATCAAAAAAAAAAAACGAAATATGAAAATTAAAAAAATAATTATTATTACAAGGTATTCCGATATTCCCTGTATAACGAAATTCACACATTCTACCCTTCACAATGGCGGGTGATTACGTATTTTACCAACTTTGGAACATTTTTTTCCATTTCTGTAAAAGTAACATCTATACACTTGTACTACCATACCAAATTTAACTTATATGGGACAATTTCAATTTTCAAAATTTTCCGCTCTTTTCATTTTCTGGGGTCAAAAGTATAGGGTCCCATTTGAAAAATCACATTTGACCTTGAAATGATCTTCAAGGTAAAGGTCAAGGTCACCATCAAGGATAGCCAGGGAGAAATCCTGAAACTTTTGTATTTAACATTTTTCTCTAAAATGCTTTCCCGCCGAGTTATTCTGCCGTTCCGGTCCTTTTGCTATACCCTATATATTTAGTTAAGATCAGCGGTATTCAAACTGTGTTTCGCGGAACCCTAGGGTTCCCCACAATCAGTAAAAAATGTGTTCGAATTTTTTTTAGGTTTAGGTTCCTCAAAAAAATCCAAATCTTGCCCGGGTTCCGCAAGTCGCAAGTTTGAAGACCGCTGATTTAGACAAAACCACCAAGAACTTGTGACAGTTCCATGTACGCGGAATATCGGAACACCCCGTACATTTCGAGTTGTTTTTACACCTTGAACGGGAAACTACAAACTCTGCCCTTTCCATTTAAGGAACCCCATCTTTTACCGTTCCCTCGATACTCGGAGAATACTGTACATGCCTCCCACAAAAATCCTAATTCCGCAAAATAAAAGCTATCCGACTTATGCGGGCAGGATCCAGCGCCCATCGTTTTATTAAACGTTATATATAGTCGGCAGGTACGATATAATGCCGTGTGGGTGTAGCAGAGAGAGGAATCGAACTCGAAACGAGAACGGACATAACTCTCGGCATCTGAATGTCGAGATGCAAATAAAGTTGCCCGCAAATCGCAGTCGGCCGTGGGCGACGGCAGAAATGGCATCTTGGAATGGTAGATCGTTCCTACAGGGTGGCCGGACCAATAATAATTATTATATATTTGGCACGGAATATTAGTTTTGTATGTGACAATATTATTAGATTTTACAAGCCCGTCATCTACATACACAAATATTTAGAGGATATTACTACTATTACTACTAAGTCAAAAACAAAAAAAACATGGAAGTGATATTATTAATAGAAACAACTATTATAAGGGCTGCATGCCCCTACCAACATTGAATTTCACCCGCAGTATCATTAAATAAAGTAAGGAGCACGTCAGTCGAACACACCAGACATAGCTGTATTTAATGATATTGTTGCTGTAATTCGATGCTTTCTGGCAATATCATCACATTAAAACATTGCATTTGTTCTCATAGGGGCGACACTGGTTATGCTTTTAGAATACCTGCAATACATTCGCTTTCTGCCATTTTTTGGCCTCTTTGTATGTCGTAGTAACATTGGCCACTAGATGTAGCTCTTACTTATACTCTTTTATTTATAAAAAAACATTAGTTAAGAAAATCGTTAACAACAATCGTTAATAACACCACTAGAATCCGCATGAAGATAATAACTATTTACACTAAAACCTGTTCATTGAAATAATAACAGTCATTATTTCAAGACGTTTTTACTTTATTCCGGAACATCTTAAAATTATCTGTTTTTTTGAAATATCCATGTACTCTCAAAAGTCTTATTATACTCGCGGTGTCCCATTTTAAATAATTGCAATATCTACTTAGGGAAGCACTTCCAAGAGAAACTTTTTAGACAGAAGTTGTAGGGCTCTCAGGGAGAACATTGTATGATGACCTTGACATTGACACAAAGGTCAACCGTAGATGTCATTTAAAGGACAACTTGAATTTTTAGATATAATAGATATATTTCTGACAACGGAAATGGATAGAGCGGAAAATTTTACATTCAGATATAGCTCTAAGTTATGGGTCAAAGGGTTATTTTAGGGTTAAATAAGGTTCTGAATAAGATTTTGCGATATTTTTCGGGAAATCACTTACGACAATCGATTCTGGTTAAAAGTTTTATGGTACCAAAAGTTTTATGGTACTTAGAAATCAAGCTTGAAGGTTCTCTGAAGGTCAAATCAAGTTACGAAATAGGAGAACCCAGTTTGCAGCCTCATTAAGGCAAGATCGTTAAGGCCCAACCAGTCAAGGTAAGATTGCAAGGTCACTATTAACCGGCCAGCTGGTTCGAAGCGATCTTGCCTTGACTAGCTGGGCCATAACGATCATGCCTTAATTTAATGGGGCTGCAAACAGGGTTCCCCTAATTCGTAACTGGATTTGACCTTCAAAGAACCTTCAAGCTTGACCTCTAGGTCATAGTCAAAGTCATCGTCGTATGATCCCATCAAACCATAAAATTTTCAACCAGAAGCCTTCGTTGTAAGTGCTTTCCCGAAAAATATCGTAAAATCTTAGTCAAAACCTTATTTGACCCTAAAATAACCCTTTAGTCACTTTGATATATCTGAACTCAAAATTTTTCACTCTTATCATTTCCGGTGTCAAAAATACAAGTTGAACTTCAGATGACCTCTACGGTTGACCTTCGTGTCAAGGTCAGGGTCACCATCGAATGTCACCCTACAACTTTTGCTTACAAAGTTTCTCTTGAACGTGCTTCCATAAGTTATTGCAATGCATTATTTAAAATAGCACACCATGTACGAGTATATCCTTTTATTCCAAATTACCGATGATTGTTTTGTGTTAACACAATACCGCGTATTGTGTGCATGCACGTTTTTTTTTTCAGTCTCCTATATTTTGTCTTATAAAAATTATTAAATGAGTAGATGTAGTAATTATTCTGAGATCTTTACAAAGATGATATTCTACGAGAAGATTTAGTTACGCATCTCAACATTTGCTTTACAAAAACACTGTATTAATATCTGCATTAATTCCCCAGTGAATTAACCCGTACACCAATGTTTACTGAAACAGGCCGAAATACACCAACTTTAATATATTTGCTGATACGGTATCTCTAATAATTCCAACAAGATAACAACATGAGCCGAGTTTAGGAAGTATATATTCAATATGGTGATTCCATGTCAATTTCCTATCTATATACAGACCAAAAAATTTAACAGCAGGTAGCAGCAACATATTCAATGGATTTTCCTTTGATCCTAAGCAACAAGCTATAGTCTACTGTAACTTTTTTGGCACAGAACTCCATCGCCATAGTCTTATTTACATTTTTAACCACA